CAGAGGGACCTGCCAGAGCTTTTATCCAGAGATTTGTCCCTGCAGGCTCCTCTGGGCGCTGTCCCCGTGCTGGGAGGGCAAGGGCACTGCCTTTGGGACTCTGGAAGTAGGTGAGGAGAGCGAGACGGGCTTAGCAGGGGAGCGGGGAAGTCACTGGAGTGAGGAGACAGTGGGAAAAGTGCAGCTTTAAAACACGCAGTGCAAAACCAGGGGGAAGGAAGGGGAAGAAACCCTGAGAGCTCTGTGCTGTTCCGGGGCCATTTCCATGATCCCCACCAGGACAGCATGCTCTTCCCAAATCACTTTGACAGCCCTTGCTGGGAAGGATCCATGTCCCCAGCTGGCTTGTCACTGAAAAGAAAAAAAAAATAAAAAAATCAGACTTTGGTTCCAAACCACATTTTTTGCTTCCTGAAACCGAAAGACAGAAAGCCCAAGCTGTGCAACCTGGAACCTCTTGTGGTTCTGGTTTTTGGTGTCCTAATGGTCCTGTGTTCTGTTACATGAGGTGTTTCCTTCAGTAGCAGAGCTCTCTCCTTGGACATGCTCATTCCTGGCTTGCTTGATGAAGTTGGCTGCTCACCCCATCATGCTGCACATGAGGCTCTGTAGGAATCAGGATTAAAAGCAAAACAGGAAAACTGGTTGAATTGGTACAACTGAAGGGAGGGACAAATTGCTGTAGAGAGGCAGGAGACAAAGTCCTGGAGATAATTTTGTCACTAGGAAAGCATCCCTAAGCCATCCTGGTTGAACATTTTAACCTTGTTTTCAGGGAACATCAGGCCTGAACTTTTCTAACTATGTGCCAAAATAGGAATGAAGAAGACTCAGCCTGTGGGATGGGTGTGGCATAAAACCTAACTTCAGTTTCACCTCCATCTTCAATTACCTTTCATGAAGCAAAACATATTTGTTAGACAGGCAAAACTCCCACCAGTGCTGCTGGGTCCAGGGCTGGGGTCCTGCCAGGAACTGCAACAGTTCCTGCAGAGCAGAGCTGCACAGCAGCAGGGACCTGTTTTCCCCACTATGGGAAACTTAACAAGTTGGGAAGACTAAAAAAAAAACTGGTTCCTGCACAGAGCTGAACATGCAGGAGGATTGTCCCACAGCTGCTGTCCTCCATGAGGGGTGTTTTGAAGCAAAGTGACACATCCCTGTGTACAGACCAAGGACATGGCATCACCTGTGGGGGCTCAGGTGGCTTCCCAGGGTGAGCAGTGTGGGAGAGCACCATAAAACATCCTCCACCTCACCAGTCAGGGGTTTTTAATTACCCAGGTGGATTTTTATTGTAACGAAGCCAGCGATGCAGGATTTGACGCTGGGGGTCTGAATGTCTCACCTGCCCAGGGCAATTTAGCAAGTGGCCTGTGCTTGATCTTCTTGTTGCTCACTGCCCCAAAAGTCAAGAGCCCATCCCTGCAGGACCTGGCAGAGCATATGGCACTTGTATAAACTGATTTGCCTCATGTCTACCTTCTCTTAAAACCCATATTCTGATGCTAAAAGGGTTTTATGGGTGTATCAGGCTATACATACTATGACTTGAGGTGGATACTCACATATTTTAGGATGATAATCATCCCCAGAAAAGCACTGGCTGTTTGGTCAGGTGGCTACAAAATAGAAACAAAGCATCAACATTTTATCAGTAAAGCCGTGGGGCTCCAGCTGGTGCTCAGGACACCACTTTCCAAACAGCCTGCTCTGCACCCAGAAATTTTCATTTGAGATTTTTTTCCCCCCTCATCCAGGACCAAACCAAAAGCAAGCTTTTAGGCAGTAGCAAAACCAAAAAACAGCTCCTTTGACATAATTTCACAGGTGGGACCCAGGACTCATGCAACCCAGGCTGTGATGGGTGGGCTTTTCCCATGGGCAGTGCAGGAGCACCCAGCCCTGCTCAGCCCTCCTGAGCCTGGCTGGGCTTCACGCCCCAACCCCTGCCGTGGATGGAGCAAAGCACCAAAATCAGCTTCTGAACAGCTAAACCAAAAAACAGCTCCTTTGACATAATTTCACAGGTGGGACCCAGGACTCATGCAACCCAGGCTGTGATGGGTGGGCTTTTCCCATGGGCAGTGCAGGAGCACCCAGCCCTGCTCAGCCCTCCTGAGCCTGGCTGGGCTTCACGCCCCAACCCCTGCCGTGGATGGAGCAAAGCACCAAAATCAGCTTCTGAACAGCTACACCAGGTCCAGCTCTGCCACTGACTTACCCTGAGATCTCAGGAA